ATCATCTAAAAATCTTAAATTTTACATATACATCTAATCAACGTAATTAAAATTAATCAATCATCTAAAAAATCATAAACCTTACATACCCAATTAATCAAAACAATTAAAATCAATCTGTCATCTTCATATCAATACAAAAATCAAATCAATATTAAATAAATACAAATAAATAAATATAACGAATCAAATATAAACAAAGAAAAGTGGATTTTGTACTCACCATATTTTTTTGAAGATCCAAGAAATATTTGAAAAACTAATGGAGCCACCAAAATAAAACCCTAATCTATTTTTTTCTTTTTCTCTTTTTCTCTTTTTCTTCTTCTTCACTTTCTACGCCACACACACACAGCACTCTTTTTTTTCTTCTTTGATGATCAATCTCTCTCTCTCTCTCTCTCTCTCTCTCTCTGGAGCTTGCCGCCGCAGACAACTCTGTTCTCCTTTTTTTTTTTCTTCCACCCTTAACTCCTAAACCCTATTTGACTACCATATTGTATTATGTAATACAACATAATTATAATATAAATATAAATATAAAATAAAATATATATATATATCTATATATATAACACCTCTTTTCTTTATATATATATAACAAATATAAATATTTAAATATTTAAAATAATTATATATAATTAAATAACACATTAAATTAATTATATACCACATTAAATTCTCATGTAATCACACAATTAATAGAACCAAAAATAAAATAAGATAATAATAATCATAATAATAAATAAATGACTTAAGAAAATTAGGATCGCTACAATCATAGCATTAGAGTTATAGGTTAAGCTCTTGGTATTTTTTGCCTTACCTATGGACGACAACCTTGGCTTGGTTGTTGCCCGCCGGACTTCAACCCATTCCCCTGTTATATTTTTTTTTAGTATCGTTTCGTGGTGATCTCTTCTTTTGTCCACTGGTTTATTCATATCCCAAATATCTATATCATATATTTTGTTTTTTACTCGCAATCTATTTTTTTATGTGTTTCTACTCCACATTGTTTTTCCTTCTATTTTAACCTCAAATAGATTTTTATCTTCAAACCTATTTGAGTTTGAGGGGGATATTATACCTATATCATGGTGTGTATGGTGATATATCATATAAACCACCTAAGCTGCCCCCTTTGGCACACAACCCAAGCTGCTTCTTGGCGTACCACTTAAGCTGCCCCCACTAGCACACAACCCAAGTCATTCCCTCTGGCGCATAGCCCAAACCGCCCTCTCTGGCGCACCATCAAAGCTGTCTCTTTGCGCACTACCAAAGCTGCCCCCTAACGCACCATCCAGGTAGCCCCATGGCGCACTTTCTAATAAGTCGCCCCTGGTGCACTCAGTCATCTGTTGTCATTTTTGTTCAGCACCACGTCATAAGTTATGTTTGCATCATGCTTGCTGGTTCAACATCCAGTTCTATACATCGGTCCAGCATGACCCCATAAATTGTCCTGACGTGAATTCCGATCAGTTCTTACAACGGTACGGCATGATCTCGTAAATTGTCCCGACATTGATTCTGGTTAGTTCTTACAACGGTCCAGCATGACCCCTTAAATTGTCTCGACATTAATTCCGGTCAGTTCCTACAACGGTTCGGTATGACCCCGTAAATTGTCCCGACATTGATTCCAGTCAGTTCCTATAACGGTTCGGTATGACCCCGTAAATTGTCCCGACATTGTTTCCAGTCAGTTCTTACAACAGTTCGGCATGGCCTTAAACTGTTCTGACATTAGTTTCGGCCAATTTCTGCAATGGTTCAACACAACCATAAACTGTCCCCCAGCATTAGCTCCAGCCTCTAATCTACTCAAGTGCCCTTGTACTCCCATTCGGACTTTATAATCTATTTGCCTTTTATTTTATTTTTTAGTTCTATTTCATGTTCTAGTTTATGTCTCCAAACTCAAGTTGGTATCCCTACTTGAGTTTGAGGGGGGTTGTTAGTAACTATATATTCTGTCTATTATACATATCATATTATATTCATTATCATATTTAGGTTTCTCTCCTCCTATATAAAAGAGTCTTGTATACATTGTTACATAATTTATTCAACACAACATTTAATATAATACGTATCTCTCTCTCTCTCTCTCTCTCTCTCTCTCTCTCTCTATCTCTCTCTTTCTTAGATATTGTAATATGGCCGACCAAACATGGTCCATGTACTTAGTGTCACACACGTGTTGGGCCGAGCTAGGCCCAAGTGGCTGGGCGATAATATTTGACTACACAGAATATACTAGGTCTATAACTCGGTAGCCTTTTGGGCTGAAATGAGTTAATACACTTCACCAATCACTAAAGATTCGTTTGGGAATTGATAATTTTAATTATTTTTTTTTAATTTTTTATGAAAAGATATATAAAAAGTAAAGAGATTAATGTGATAATTTATAGCGACTTTTGATTAAAAATCCTCATTCTCAAACAAACAAAGCCTAAATGTTATATCTTTCTATATTGTTCTCCCATGACCTAATATAAAATTGTAAATTTTACTTTTTCTACTAATCACAAGTATTCTTGAGGCACCATCTAATTATGTCTTGAGACTAAGGGCTGGTTTGGGGTGTCCTAAAAAAGTGTACTTTTTGTCCTTTTGGACTAAAAAAGTTGAGAAAAAAATATTGAGGTTTGGGTTAACTTTTTGACTTTTTATAGAAAAATGTGTATTAAAAAATTGTATAAAAAAAGTGTGTAAAAGATGATTAGAGAGGGGTGGGCCCCAGCCGTACAACCGATTGAGTGAATTGGGATTGGAAATTATTGGCTAATTTTTGTACAAAGCACTGGACAGTTTTGTTTGGCCCGCGGGGGTAATCACGGGTCCCATTTTAATAATCTGAACCGTTCAATGTGTGTAACTCGTCGAACACTATGTACCTATAAAAAATCACGTTTATCGGATATCGATAGCTATCTGATCAGATTTATTTATTTTTCAATCATTAATTATAACACCATCCATTTGTTGTACATAACTGATTTGATCATATAGTTATCGATATCCGATCAATGTGATTTTTTGCAGACATATAGTACTTGACGATTTCTACACATTAAAAAAAACGATTCAGATTATCAAAACGGGACCCGTAATGACCTCCATGGGATGAACAACGGTGTGTGTAAAAACCACACCCAATCATTTCTTTTTCCTCCACTGCCGCACACAGCACTGCCGCACACATCAATTCGGTGAATAGGGATTTTGAAGAAAATTAATTTTTTAATTTTTTTTTTTTTGTGAATAGTGATATCTTTTTGAATTTTGGAGTAACTTTTTGACTTTTTAACTTATATAAGATAAGCCAAACCAGCCCTAACACTCAACTTATTCCCTACTTGTGCAAAGATTATATGGTAGTCTTAAGACAATTAACATGTTTTGATTGATTGAAACATTGAGATTCAAAACTTTTTTTATAAGTTTTTAATGGATTACTTGTCAAATGTCATCATATAAATGACGTGGAGTATTATTCCAATACTATCAAATAATTTGTCATACTTTAGACCTATTTCTTTTTTTTAAATATTGTTTTATACAAAAAAAAAAAAAAAAAAACCCTTTTATATGATACAAATTAAAATTTTAATGTGGCGTTGGTTCCAATTAAAATAAATTGTGCTTACTCATTTTAAATTCTAAATAACATTACTGGTTTTTTTTTCTTTAATTAGTGTGAAAAATATGTTAGAAGTGGAGTGGAAGAAAAAACGTGACTGGAAAATATATTATTTGTATGCATTTACTTTTGCTGATTTATTATTATTATTATTATTATTATTTTGAAAGTTAAATTTTGTGTATTTGTTGTAAAAATTGAAAATAAAGTTATCATGTTAGAATCAGTCATACAAGAAATTTGAATTTCTTATATTTAACACGTAGATTGCTTTATTTATTTATTTGTAATCAAACGCAAATGTAGCAGTTACATGGGAAAACAATTTTTCCTATATATTTTTTTAGAAGAAATAAAAGTCAAGGAAAATGTTTGGGACCCAAAAAGGTGGATCCCATGACCTCCACTGATGTGTTAATTATTCATGTATTTGAATTTTTTTTCTAGAAAAAGGTTGAGACCCCCTTTTTTCTTAACCTCCACCACCCACAATGTATTGGGATTGATCAACTTTTTATTTTTTTATTTTTTGTTTTTTTTCCCCTTCTATCACTCACTGACATGTGTCTGTGGGAGTTGTAAGGATCAAGGAAAAAAGATGTCTCTATCATTTCTATTTTTTCTATCTCTGACAATGGCATAAATGATTCAAATTATTTTAAGAGTTGTGAAGATTGTATTCTATGAGAGCCTCTATCATTATTAAAAAGTCAATTTGTCATGCTAATAACTTTTAGTTTTCTTGTACTTTTGTGAATGAAAAGGTCCATTACAGGTGGAAAATACTTGGAACCCCACAATATTTGAACCCCACAACCCCCAATTAATTTATAACCGCACATTATTTTTTTTTTTTAATTTTTTTATTTCCTCTCTCCTCTCCCTCTCTCACAGAAGTGTGTGGGGGTGCTGGGAGTCGGGAGCAAAGTCCATTACAGAAACACAACTTATCTCAATTTCAAATTTCAAATTTCAAATTAACTTACTTACCAAAAAAGAAAAAAAAAATTAAAATTAAAAGAGAATTTTTTTTAAATTCAAATTAATATGATCATTATTGACCGATGATTTTTAATTTAAATTTTAATAATGTGTAATAATCTCATAAAATCTCTTTCCTATATAATCACGTAATAGAGAATTTTAATCTGTATTTTTTACAATTTTTATAACTAAAAAATCTGAAAAATCTTTACTGTCTAGCACTATCCACCACTTTTGATATTCTTGACCAAACTCAGACGTAGAAAATAATACCATGCACTAATCTAGAAAGATTAGGTAACCTGCCCGTGCCAAACACGACCTTAAGCACACTATATATATAACCCCTACACTCATGGCTTGTTCTCACCACATTCCTTCATCACCACAACGCACAAACTCATTGTTTCATTTTTTCTTTTCTCTTTTTTTTCTCCAAACAATAAAAAATGGCTTCTTCTTCTCCTTCTTCAATGGTAATTAATGTGTCATTTGTTTTGTTTGTGTTTTTATTAATGAATAGTTCTTCTGCTCAACTCTCCACCAATTTCTACTCCAAGACTTGCCCAAAGCTACTGGATACTGCGAAATCAGTGGTTAAATATGCGGTGTCAAAGGAGAGGCGCATGGGTGCTTCTCTCCTTCGCCTGCACTTCCACGACTGCTTCGTTAACGTAATTATTCTTCAATGACTGTTTTTTTTTTTTTTTTTTTCCCCACTAACTGATTTGAAATTTTTTTCGACATTTTATGATGCTTTATGGGTCATATTCAGTGGTGGAACAAAATGATACATAGGAATGTTGTACAAATTACTAAATTATATTTAAACTAGACTCGTAATAATAATATGATAATGTTACTCTTTTTTTTTTTTTTTTTTTCCCCACTAACTGATTTGAAATTTTTTTCGACATTTTATGATGCTTTATGGGTCATGTTCAGTCGTGGAACAAAATGATACATAGGAATGTTGTACAAATTACTAAATTATATTTAAACTAGACTCGTAATAATAATATGATAATGTTACTCATCTTTTTGAAATTGTGTTTGGTTCATGAATTTGGAGAGAGATTTGAAAATAGAAAGAGAAAGAGAAAATATATAAGTAAAATATGAATGAAATATAATTTTATTTCACATATTTTTCATACACATTTTTCTTTTCTATTTCTAAATCTCTATTCAAATTCATGAACTAAACACAGTATTAAGATGAGAAATAAAGTATTTAACCAATAACATAGACATAGACATATGTGACATAATAAACTATTTAAATGTGACATAATAAAGTATTTAAATGTTTTCTGTGTTGACTTATTGGCAGGGTTATATGTTTTTGTACAATTCTAACTAAGCTTCTTTTTAGGGAGGTCTACAATCCAGCAAGTCTTTATACACACACAAAATAAAATAAAATAAAATTCAAATACATGAAAATATTTACTCCCTCCGTCCCAAAATATTAGTCCCTTATTCCATTTTTTATTGTCCCAAAATATTAGTCCCTCTTTATAATATTAGTTATTAATATTTATAAAGTTTATCATTAATATGTGATTAATTTTGAAAAATTACATTGACTTGTATTTTTTTCTTCTATTTATAGGGTTGTGATGGATCAATACTTTTAGATGACACTTCGTCTTTCACCGGAGAGAAAACTGCAGGTCCCAATAATAATTCTGTTAGGGGATTTAATGTGATAGATGATATCAAATCTAAAGTGGAAGGTATTTGTCCTGGTGTTGTCTCATGTGCTGATATTGTAGCTATCGCTGCTCGTGACTCTGTTGAAGTTGTAAGTGTTTCATATCTGTATCAACTCTTCCAACCAAACATCAACTTCTCAAGATTGCTAAACGTAGTTTGGTTCTCATTATATATAACTTGTTGTAGCTTGGAGGGCCGACTTGGGAAGTAAAACTTGGACGCCGAGATTCTAAAACAGCTAGCTTTTCTGCTGCCAATAGCGGCGTAATCCCGCCTCCCTTTTCTACTCTTAACAACCTTATCAATAGGTTCCAAGCTGTAGGCCTCTCCACCAAAGACATGGTTGCTTTATCTGGTACTCACTCTCTCTTTGTCTAACAATATATCTCTATGTCTCATGAACTTTTCTAAAATGGTTTCATTGGTGGAATGATCAGGAGCCCACACAATAGGGCAAGCGAGGTGTCTTCTCTTCAGAACACGCATATACAACGAGACCAATATCGATAGTTCCTTTGCTAAAAAAAAGCAAGGTAGTTGCCCATTTCCTTCTGGGTCTGGAGACAACAATTTGGCACCTCTAGATCTTGAAAGTCCCACTGTTTTTGACAATGAGTACTACAAGAACTTGATCAACCAAAAAGGACTCCTCCATTCTGATCAAATATTGCACAATGGTGGATCCACTGATTCCCTGGTCGAAAAATACAGCCAAAGTTCCAATACCTTTAACTCTGACTTCACTGCAGCAATGGTTAAGATGGGAGACATTAGTCCCCTCACCGGATCCGAAGGCGAGATAAGAAAGAAGTGTTGGAAGGTGAATTCATGAAGAGATTTGAGTCATTAATCTCCTTGGAATAAATATAAAACAATAGTTTTGAGTTTTCCCCCCCAAAAAAAAAAAAAAGGGAGGCTGCTTGTTTTTTGTTCTTTTGGTTTGCTTGTTATCCAAGTAGGAATGTTGAATTGTGAATTTTTTAGTGGCATAAGCTTTGTTTGAATTTACCAAATTAATTAATGCATGTACCCTTTTTTCCCCAAAGATTCATGGCTTAAATGAGTTCATTGTAATTTCTTTTTAATTGAGTTGCGTAGGGGAAAGAAAATGAAAAATGGTTTTCCTTTTTGACTTCTGTATTTGTTGTAAGAAAATGTCGGTTCCTTTTAACGTTTTGTTCAAAGAAATATTTAAAAATAAAAAAATCAAGATTACATACATCACTAGAAAGTCCAAATTTTACTTTTATTTAAAGTTACTTGTAAATTAAATAATTAACGAAAAAATAAATAATTTTTATTAACTTTATCTTTCTTTATTTTTATTTACTCATTGTTCTCAACAATTTTTATTTTTATTTTGTAGACAATATATTTTACAACTAAACAAAGTCGTCCGACGTTATCTCATTGCTAAAAGAGAGTCCTTAAAAAAGAATCTTTTAAGCACCTTTCTTCCATGCAGTGGTTAGAAGAATCAGTCACATGTTTTGACTGGGAGTTTTAAATTCACAACCCATGAACACCATCTTTCTAATACAAAGGGCTATTTGATCCAACTGCTTAATTTTTTTTATATTTTTAAATTTTAGAAGTTTATGTTAAATTATTTGGTGTAATTTTTATTTACAATTTATTAGATAAATAATTGAAATAAATTGAAAAAAACTAATTATGTTGAAGTTTTGTTTGTTAATTATCAATTTTTAATTTACAATAAATTTTATAAATTTGATATAATTATATTATGTTTCCTTAAGTTTTTAAATCACATAATAAACTTTCCAACTTTATCAAGCCCGGTACCTATAAACGAATATCTCCATCTATTCCTCCTTCCCCTAGGTGGATGGTTAATCGATCAGAAGTCATTCCAATGCGAGGGGTAGGCAGAACATATGAGCGCGAGTGAGATGGCTGCAACAAAAGTAACGAAAACAGTGGACTATATAAAAATAATTCGTGAGAAATTTATAAATTTTGTCATATATAATAAAAAATAAAAATGATAGGTGATGAAAATTTATTTTTATCAATAAATACTTCATTTTAAGTGAGGAAAAATTAAGTTTCGTCACAAAAAAAATTTTTTGCTAATTTTTTTGGGTGGCGCTAAAATTTTGAGATTTTTAGTGAGAAAAAAAAATTGTCATTGATTATAAAATTATTTGTGAAGAATATATTTTCGTTGCCAAAAACTTTTTAATATTTTTGAGATCTTTTGGTGAGGAAAAAATATTGTCACCAATTTTGTTGGGAAATTTGTGATATATTGAGCCGCAATAATAAAAAAAAGGTAAATTACACTGACACCCTCTGAGATTTATGTTTATTGCAGTTCTCCCCTCACCTTTTGAAATTACATCTCCCCTCATGAGGTTTAAAGTTTCATTACAGATTTCTCTCATCAGCAATTTAATTTTTTTAAATACCAAATTTGCCCTCATTGGGTAAATTACATTGAAACCTCTCACATTTTAGAAATTACAATCCCCTCCCTAAGGTTTAAAATAGCATTACAAATTGCCCTCTCGATTAGTATTGGTTGGAAAAAAAAAATTATTTGGGAAAAAAATTATTTGGAAAAAAAATTAATTGAAAAAATTTTTTGTTAGTAAAATTTTTAAATTTTTTGTTTAAAAACCAACGTAAACTCATTTTTTGAATTTACATTTTTTTTTCAAATTTACAAACTGAGACAATTATTTATAAACAAAAAAAATTATCAAACAAGTTTTTATGACAGTTTTTAAAATTTTTGTAAATATAAATTGAAACCTGAAAACGAAATGGTTACCAAACAGGTCTCAGTTGGTAAAAATGTCATAAAATTAACAAATAATTAAATAAGTTACCAATGTAAGAAATGACTTATCAAAAAATTCTTAAGCTATGGACCTGTTTGGTAGGGCTTATTTCTAACTTATCTCAGTTTTTAACTTAATTTAAACTATTTTGATATATTTGGTTTAGCTTAACAATACAGCTTATAGCTTTTTGTAAGTCAAAAATCAACTTATTCTTTGAGTAGAGGAGGAGAAACTTAATTTATAAGTCAAAAATCAGCTTATGTTTACAGCTATAAGTTATAAGCTGTTAGCCTATAAGTTATAATTACTTTCCCACAGCTCTACCAAATAGGGCCTATGTATGGTTTGATTTTTAATTTTTTTTTTTAAAAAGTTAAAAATTGATTTGGTTAAGAAATAAAAAATAAAAAATAATTATCATTTAAGGGTAAAAAATAATTATCATTTTAACTTTTGGGCAGGTTATATACATACGTATGGCTATTTCAATTTAATTTGCAAAAAATTATTTCTAACCACTCGAAAGATAAAAATTATATAAAAATGATAATTATTTTTTATTTTTTATTTCTTAACCAAATTAATTTTTAATTTTTTAATTTTTTAATTTTTTTTCTAAAAATCAAACCATACATAGCCTAAGAATATTTTGATAAGTCATTTTTTACGTTGGTAACTTATTTAATTATTTGTTAATTTTACGACATTTTTACCATCTGAAACATGTTTGGTAACCATTTGGTTTTCAATTTTCAATTTATATTTACAAAAATTAAAAAAACTACCATAAAAACTTGTTTGATAATTTTTTTGGTTTATAAATAGTTGTCTCAGTTTGTAAATTTGAGAAAAAAAAACGTAAATTCAAAAAATGAGCTTACGTTGGTTTTTAAACAGAAATTTAAAAATTTTACGAACAAAATTTTTTTCAATTAATTTTTTTTCCAATTAATTTTTTTTTCAATTAATTTTTTTTCCAACTAATACTGACCGAGGGGGCAATTGGTAATGCTACTTTAAACCTTAGGGAGGGGATTGTAATTTCTAAAATGTGAGGGGTGTCAATGTAATTTACCCAATGAGGGCAAAATTGATATTTAAAAAAAATAAATTGCTGAGGAGGAAATCTGTAATGAAATTTTAAACCTCATGGAGGGAGATGTAATTTCCAAAAGGTGAGGGGAGGAACTGTAATAAACCTAAATCTCAGGAGGTGTCAGTGTAATTTATCAAAAAAAATAGGGTATTAATTTTTTTACCCATTTTCTGTTTATCATCTCTTTCTCTCTCTCTCTCTCTCTCTCTCTCTCAAAATAGGGTATTAATTTGTCTTACTTCTTGCTCCTCCACCACGCTGATAACCATCGTCGTCGCCTCTGTTAGCCTTGCCGATCGCCGCCGCCACTAGTAGCTTTGCTGGTAACCGTCGCATCTTCTTCGCTGGTTGATTTGGTACGTGATTTCTCTTTGCTTTTTTTCTGGTGTCTCTTTCTCTTATTCTCTGTTTTGGTATGGTGACGAAAATTAGTGATGAAAACAAATTTTGTTACTAAATAAAATAAATCCATGAGGAATTATAAATTTTGTCACGTATAATAAAAAAATAAAAATAAAAGGTGACGAAATTTATTTTCGTCAATAAATACTTATTTTTAGGTGAGAAAAAAACTAAGTTTCATCACTGAAATTTTTCCCACTAATTTTTTTTATGGTGCCAAAATTTTGAAAATTTTGGTGAGAATTTTTTTGTCACCAATTTAAAAATTATTAATGAGGAATATATTTGTATCACCAATAATTTTTATTTTATTATTATTATTTTTTTTTGAAAAACTTGATTTTAAATATTTTAAGACAATTTGGTGAGAAATATATTTTTGTCATTAATAATTTTTAATATTTTTAGGCCTTTTAGTGAGAAAATTATTTTGACATTAATTTTGAAAAAAGAATTTTGACATATTAAGCGGTAATGAAAAAAAATAGTCTATTATTTTACTCTTTTTTTTTTTTTTTTTTGGTGTATTGATTAGTTTTCCTATCAATCTCTATCTCTCTCACTCTCCCTCTCAAAACAAAACACAAGCGCTGTGTGTTTTGTTTATTGACGAATCAGTTTTCCTATCAATCTCTATCTGTATCTCTCTCTATCCCTCTCCCTCTCAAAACAAAAAGACAAGTGTTGTGTTTTCTTCTCCAGCGCCCCTTCAGTGTGTTCTTCTCTAGCGCCGCTGCCGACGTCCCTGCTCTCCTCCTTTAGTGTCACCACAGACGTCGTGTCTCCTTTACTAATGTGTGTTCTCTTCCATCAGGTATGGGTCCTCTCTCTCTCTCTCTCCTCTCTCTCTCACTCAATTTCTCTATTTTTCTATCTCTGTTTTCCCTAATTTTCATAATTAATGTTGTATTTTATTCTTTCCAGCAAGGTTTCTCTTCAATAAATTGTGAATGTGTAAATTGTAAACTTGGCAATCCTCAATGTCTTTTGCTTGTTTCTGCTATAAACTTGAGAATGAATGTCCTTTGATTATAATTAACAGTTTGAAATTAGTAAAAGCCCTTGACTAAATGTGAATATTTTATATGATTTGGATTGATTGTTTGTATTTCTAAGAAAATTAGGGTTCAATTCCTCTATATTTGAATGTTTGTTTAATGTATGTTTATTTTATAGGTTTTTCTACTTAGGTTATTCATAAAAAAATAAAATTGATTACTTAGGCCATGAGATCGATTGATTCCTTTGCTTCTTTGATCATCCTTTCTATTTGGACTAGCCCCTGATTCTTCTTAGATACCATGCCGGGCTATTTGAGGATCCTTGTAGATGCCTGATGCTCTGCTATTGCCATTATTTCTTGCCTTTGTTTTAGTTGGCTATGGGCATATCCTCATTGAGCAGTTCCTCCTTGCAGGCTGCTTTGAGGTCTCCTTCTGTTAGCAAGTTCACAGACCCTATCTCTCTTTGTTTATGTGGTCTCTGAACTTGGGTGGAGTTTTCTTTTTATTTATTTTCTTTTCACTTAGCCTTACCATATAACATACATAGAAATAGTTCTACCTACTTCACTCCAACTATGGACATGAGAAACAGAAGCTTGTCATTGACTTCCATAAGATCAGATGGTTGGCTTTTATATGAGACAGGCTCGGGTGTCTTTGCATAGGAAGATGTAGAGAGCTTTTAGTTCCTCTACGCACGTTGCATGGGATGCAACTTTATATCCTACTATAG